TACGGATAAGAAGGAGGAGGCATATTGGAGACAAAAATCAGGGATGCAGTGGCTCAAGGAAGGGGATGCCAATTTCTAGATTTTTTCATTCAATAATGAGCTCTAAAAGAATGAGACTTTGTCTCAAAAAGACCAGGGGTTCATGGATCGAGGATAGTGATGCAATTGCTACCGAGGCCATCAAGTATTTTGAAGCACAATTCACAAAAGAAACAACTCAGAGGACTTTAGCATTTTACATTGCTTGCCTAAGGTTATATCAGAAGAAGATAATGAGAAGTTAACTGAAATTCCATCAATGCAAGAAGTGAAAGAAGTTATTTTTTCCTTATTCCCATATAGCACACCTGGGCCAGATGTAATTTCAGGAGCATTCTGCTAACAATGTTGGGTTTTTATCTCAGTTGATTTATATAACATGGCTTGTGATTTCTTTACAGGTACACGACTTCCTAGATCATTCACTCAGACATGTTTGATTCTTTTGCAAAAAGTCACGAGTCCACAGAGGTTTACATAACTAAGACCTATTAGTCTCAGTAACTTCAGCTTCAAGATTTTTTCTAAGTTGCTGAACATCAGGCTTGCAGCTGTGATACACAAGGCGGTATCTACCAATCAAGCGATTAAAAACATGTCTATTACAGAAAATATCATGCATACCCAGGAGCTAGTGCACAACATCAAGAAGCCCAACTCTAATGGAAATGTAGTTATGAAGTTGGATATGACAAAAGCATTTGATAGGGTGGATAGGGATTATCTTTGTCAAGTGCTAAGACGATTTGGATTTTTAGATAATTGGGTAGACATGATCTGGAGGATGTTGTCAAATAATTGGTATTTAATTAATATTAATGGAGGTAGGCATGGCTTCTTCAAGTCAGGAAGAGGAATAAAACAAGGGGATCTACTCTCTCCATCTCTCTTTATCATTGGAGCAGAATTATTGACAATTCTCATGGAATACCTGAAGAATGAAAGTTTTATCCCTTATGCACTAGATAGAAGAAGTCCGATTATCACTCATCTCAGCTATGCAGATGATATTATTCTCTTCTCATCTGGTGATCCTTTGTCTCTCGTTGCTAAGATGGGGAAACTCTCAACATATGAAAAATGCTCTGGGTAACAATCAACAAAAGTAACTCTTGTTTCCTCGTTACTCCCAATACTCATCTCTCTCTCACAGGATTCACCCACTCCAAATTCCCTTTTTCCTATCCTGGTTGTCCTATATATATATATTGGAAGGAAGAAAGTGATTTACTTTGGGGTTCTAGTAGCCAAAATCTCTTCAAGACTCCAAGGGTGGCAGGACATGATGCTTTCCTATGGTGGGAGAGCAGTCTTGATCAAATCAGTATTGGAGTCCATGCCTCTTCACATTCTTTCGGTAGTGCAGTTGCCAAAAACAACTAGCTCACAAATAAAAAAAAATTTCTAATTTTTACTAGAGTGAACTGGAAGGCAAAAGAAAGTTCCATTGGATCTTGCAAAAATATGTGTTATCCCACTGCAGAAGGAGCAATCGGGTTCATGTCTTTTGAAGATATAAGTAGAACTTTTGATTCTAAAGTATGTGGAACTTTAGAACTAAGAATTCATTATTTAGGCAATTTATGGAGGTCAAGTATTGTCCAAGGGCTCATCCAGTGTGCAAAAAGTGGGCAGCAGGGCAATCTCACACATGGAAGAGAATGCTTGATGCTAGAAAAGATAGTGAGAGTCATATTGTTTGGAATATGAACAATGGTGATCTATCCTTTCGGTGAGATAATTGGGTAGGCATTGGACCTTTATCTCAGCATCTACCTAATGCATATAGACCAAAGAAGCTCAGGGTGTCTGAATTTGTTCACAATAGCTAACATGGGGGAATATACAAAGCATGGTTCTTTTTCTCACAGGATTTAACACTACCCACAAGAGTTAAAAACTTTGTGAAGAATGACATCAAAGGATTAGATATCTTTCGTATTAAAGCTCGAAAGAAGTTTTTTACTTTTTATCATGGTTGATTATAAATTAATGATTGTACAGTTCATAGCTACTTTTTGCAGAATTCATAAAGCTCAAACTGTAAAGGAGGAGTCCTCATCATCATTGTTACATTTAGCGATTGTTTTTTACCTTCAATCATTGTGTATTGGAGGCTAAGATTTATGTCCTCCTTCATGTACTCTTCTTTTGTGATTTATACAGATAGGGGTCTGGCCTAACCCTACACGCCATTGTGGTGGATTCTAAAAAAAAAAAAACTTTCGGCATTAATTGGGTTTTAATTTATAATTCTAAACGCACATTGTATCAATTTGATTCTCTCAAATAGTAGTCAAATATTACAAGTCTATAGCATAGATTCTTCAATCTATATGGGGCGATATCATTATCACGATCCAAATATCCCATCGAAGCCATGACGGTGCTTAAACGCTTGCTAGGAAAGCCATTAACAAACGTGCAAAAATAAACTTCACCAATCGTAAGAAGTAGTCTCAGCAGCGGAATAATCATAAATAACTAAAATCGAATAACGACAATACAACTGAAACCATCACACGATCTTGGTGTCACCAAGTGCATGAGCTCTATAGAATAAGTAAATACATGGTCTAAATCAAATACAATATTGTCCGAAAGAAAAAACAGTATTAACATTAAATAAGGAAAAGGACTCCACGGACTGCAAACGGAACATCAATGCTACCTCGAGATCTCTTACAAATCTGAATCTGGCTCTCGGGCAACTATCACGATCAACAATACCTGGATCTGCACACAACGTGCAGAATATAGTATGAGTACAACCGACCACATATACTCAATAAGTAGCAAGCTTAACCTCGGGCTGAAGTAGTCACGAGCTTGACAAGTTTCGATGCTTACTTTCCACATCTAACAATAATAATAATAGCAGAATAATAGCATATAAAAGAAAATAACTCAAATAAAAACATGCTCATATTAACACAATTGGAGGAGAAATAGATATGCTTTTCAGATACAACAGTCAAGGCATCAACTTCCATAAATTCACTTAGACAAGTATTTAACAAGATAAAAACTGTGATATCAAGTTCTAAACATCAAGTAGAGCTATTAAATACCAATTAGCATGAGGGATAATACAGCTCTATGCCTGCATGGCAGTTATACATGCCAAATCAACTAAGAACCACAGTCTGAATATCAAGTATACATAATCTCAGCACATTCATAGTGCCTGGCACAAAGTACCCCTTAATCATACTCTAAGCACGCTCACGGTGCCTGGCTCAAAGCCATGGACCTACACACGCACATACATACACATACTCAGCACCGTACGAGTGCCTAATACAAGTCTCTCACCAAGCACATATATATGACCATCTGCCTGCGCCCACAGTTATTATCTGGCTCCGGGGGAGGGGGGGTCCTTGTCCATGCGCGGATCGGATCTAAGTCAACGATCAATATCACTTAGCCCAACATGGGATCTGACGCACGCGTCAACTCAATATCAATACCCAGTGGCGAAGCCAGAAATGTTTCCAAGGGTGTGCAAACTTGAAAGAACTAAAAAAAAATTCTCGACAAAGGGTGTTCAATATATATCTTATACATCTAAAATCAGTATTTTACTTATATACACAGTGTAAATTTTTGTAATATTTCGGTGAAGGGTGGTCAGTTGACCACCCTTTGTTAAAGGTTGCTTCGCCCCTGTCAATACCACTCAGCCCAATATGGGGTCCGGCGCACGCGTCACCTCATAATCAATATCACTCAGCCCAATATGGTGTCTGGCGCATGCGTCAACTCAAAATCAATACCAACATAGCTCTATGGCCCAAGATCAGTCATCAATCCGCTCAAGTACCATATGCCAATATGTCACAGAAACATTATTCAATATACCAGACGAAATATACCAATATATATATATATATATATATATATATATATATATATATATATATATATATATATATTCTTTATTGCAACAGATTACATTTTATTTTCATCATAGATCAATAATATCTTGATCTCCTTTCTCTTAACTAACGAACAAACCCTAACACAAATTCCTCAATTTCATCACATTTTCCGTTGCTAACAGAATCTCTTAAGCCTCAACATTTTCAACGGTTTTCTTCTGCAATAGGTTATACAGAAGGGGAGATTAAGGAAGTAGACGAGGAAACGGGTCATTTTCTGGCTTCTACCCAACACGGTCCAGGTCCATGCTATACAAATAACTGAAAATCTAAATCTTTAGGGAACATTTTGACAAATAGCAACTTCTACGGCCGCAGATTGAAAATCAGCCATCAATTTAAAACTAATTTACATGTTGTTATAGGTCAAATTCGTCTGATAGCATAGAATTTCTTTGTGCTGTCAGTGCATAAAACATGAAACACTTTTGACTTTTTCACATCCATTTGTCCTGGCGAGGCATGACAATATTTGGCACGTTAGGTTATATGTTGAGGTACTGATACTCAAAAATGATTTCCTTATATAGGTCCAATGTGGGAACTGACTCTGGAAACGTTTGCAAGCCTAAAGAAATAGCTACTTCATACGATAAACTGGCGGTGTTTGGCCTTGTCATTAGCTATTACGTTGGACTTTATTGTTTGTTCATAATGTAAGTGATTTGTCTTTTTCCTTTTTTCAAGTTAGCACAATCTTTTATTGGTTTTCACTAATGTCGCATATGTGCAAAACGTTAACCTTCTAATAAAATTCACCTTATCCTTGTTGTTAAAAGAATAAACCAACTCTTGTGAGGCAACAAAAAGTTTTGTGGTTCTTGAGGATAACTTCACGGATGGAAATCTGAGCTAACTTTTAATTTATCATACAAATTAAGTTATAAAACTAACTTTTGTAACGTAAAATAATTTAATCACGAAAAATAAGAAATGCCAGAAAATGATAATCCGGTCCCAGAAAACACAAGTAAATTTTTGCCAATTCTTGTATAAACGTAAAGTTGAGAGAGCAGAAGAGTATGAGCGGCATACGTAGTTGAGAAAGTAATACAATAACAACAACAACAGATTCAGTGTAATCTCATAAATTGAATCTGGAAAGGATAGTGTACGCATAGTGTCCTAGCTACCTTGTAAAAATAGATAATAAGTTGTTTCCAAATAGCCTCGGATAGTTGAGAAAGTAATACCAACAAACAAAATGATGTTCTCAGTGGATGGTTATATTTATTTTTTAGGGTCATGTTTTGAAATACTTGAGTGGTAGAGTTAAGCGTGCAATTGACAACCCTCGTGAGCATCATTGTATTTAGATATGATAACATTGTGTGTGTGTGAGAGAGAGAGAGAGCTGGCCCTTGTTTTCTTCGGTCTGTTTCAAACATGTACATTAATACATCAAAAGAAATGAGAACATTATTTTTTTCGTCCATTATATTCCGAAAGAAATAATAAATGGACTAATTGTTTAGGGCATTTTGCCATATTTGAGGGCGTTGAGATCAGCATAGTACTTTGTTATCCATCCTTCAATGATTTCAACCTCTGTTTTCCTTTGCATGGTTAACCATTCTGGATCAGTTGGCTTGCTAGTAAGAATGTCTAGACAATGGGAACCTACAAAAATAAATAAAAGGAAATGAAAAGAATTAAGCAAAATTCACAAGTCCACATCTGGACAACAACAAAAAATTAAATTAAATACATCGTATTAGCTCAAGTTGGTACAGTTTTTGTTCCCAATATCAGTTGTCTTGGCAAATCGAATGTGTCTAAAAATATTTGATGTTTTAGAAAAAAAGAAGGAGTTTATCAACAATTATTGAAATCCATATATACTTAACGTTTATGTAGTACATTATTAACTAAGTGAAATATATAAGGAGAGATAAAAAGTATTTTAGAAAAATATCTCGTATGTTCGGATCTATTAAATATTTTTCTTAAAAAATTTCAAAAGACAGATAATATGAACTAGTATTGTAAGTAAAATATTTGTAAAATTTATGATTGATGTTGATGCCTTTACTAATATTTCCTATTCTATGATAACATAGAACATGAGCTCCTTTATTACTATATTTTGTTTGGAAAGTAATAATGGCATACCGTTACGCGTGTGGACAGCTCGTAGACTATGAGATATGTCTTGCAAAACCCTAAAACAGAAAAGCAGACAAAAAAAATATTAATGCAAGACATATAACATGAATTAGGTCAACAATTTAACATATGTCACCAAATAGGAAAAGGAAAAAACATTGTCAAGGACGTACCCTGCACTACTGTAAGGATCTCTTAGCCCATTAGAGAAAATGATGTTGCTAGCAAACCTATGAAGAATTAATTTTATGTCCTGCAAATTCACTCATTAAGGTTAGATATATATATATATATATATATCCTAGTAATACATGAAAAAAGGTAATTCGTGCACAAAATATTTCGCGTTCACGCAAGGTTCAAAGAGTATCACACCATTAAGAATATAATGTAGGCAGTCTATACGGAGAATTCCGGACACAAGGGTCACCACGTGGAGAAAAAAAATTATCATATAAAGACAACTTTACTGTCATTTCAAGTCCAGATATCTAATGCATATATAAGAAAAAAGTAAAATGACAAACCATACATAACAAGGAAAATTAAAGTTGTAAATTGAAGTAAATTTAGAGTATAAAAGGAAGCATACATGTCCACCATAATAAGTTGTGATCCAGTGTGGACGAGGAGAGACACCATAGTTGCTCTTGCAGTCGTCTATAAACTCATCCAAATTAAAAGGAGCTGAATAGAACATTGTATCATTTTTGCCTCGCCCTATAGGCATCACCATCTCACTGCATGTCTGAAAAAAACAGAACTAGCTAGTATTAATTTTTAAAATATATTTACTACATAATATCTGTTGAAAATCAGATAAAAATATTATTTCGACCTATAAGTTCTTGAAGTAATTTCACCTTTAAAATTATAGATTCAAAATTAATAATTGTTCACATATATTATATTATATTTATGTGGCGTGTCAAAAATGTTGAACAGTAAAATGCTATGGTCATCTTTCCACCATTCTCCACTTAAATATCAGGCTTCTCTGTATAATAAAATTTGAACTTGTGGTCTGCCTCGAATTAATCCACGCATTGTGCTCTTTCCACTGAACCAAAGTTTTTAGTGTGTACTTACTTGCCATCTCCATCCCATGTTGGTTTCACTAGGTTGATTATACACATTTGTGTTGTAACAACTTAAATTCCCTTGAGATGCAACAATTCCAGCATAAATACGATCAAGAACATGACTTCCTTTGTGTGCACCATCAATTCCTCCACAAACCACTGTCACTGGATATGTTGGTGGCTTATTATACTGAGCTGCTGTTGCATATATTGAATCCAAATAATCCTTCAACTCAGAAGAACTATTTAAGTGGCTGAACTCCAAGAAAACAAGATTAATTAAATTGAATAAAGATAGGTGGGAAAAAAAGAAGAAATAAATCTGAAATATATAAAAGAAAAAAGAAATTAAAGATTACGAGCAAGTCTTGAATTTCCGACTGAGATAGGAGAGTCCATTTTTTCTAGAAGCAATCTTATCAATTATAGACCATGATTTTCGTATAGTTCGGTAGCAAGTCTTACTCACTTCCTGAAATAATTGTGGAATTTAACTTGTTAATTAGTTAGAACAAAGGAAAACTTAAATAAAATAATAAAAGATTTGATTTATAAAATAAATTAATGATGTTTTTCTTACTTTAAAATCCTTAGTCACAATCGAATAATATCCATTTTGTGGAGTGATGTCATCAAAATAAAGAATAGGAGCTGATGAAGCTAGAGCACCAAGAGCTATATGAGGATACTTCATTCGAAACCACGAAGCAAGCACTGAAAGTTTCGCCAAAAAAAAAAAAAAAAAAACGAAAAGAAAGAGAAAAAAGAAAAACAAGAAAGAAGAGAAGAAGTT